AACCAAAAGTTTATTTCATACGTGCTAGGGTTATAAAAATTGACATGGAAAAAGTAAACTTGAATAAAAATTAAAAATGAATAACAATAATAACAACAACAACAACAATAATAATAATAATAATAACAACAAACTCAAAAGAGCAAACACTTAAGATTCATCATTTGTTCTCGCCTGCATTTTACATATTCCGGGAAACTGCCTTTGATGGCTTTGGAAGGTTGGAAAATGAAAGTTTCTGATAAGTTTCGTCACTTTTTCCCTCACTTTTTAAAATCCAACCTAAAAGAGAACATTTTTATCTTTTCTTTTTGAATTTTTTTTTAAATTTTCATTAGCACCTACTTTTTGCCGCCAAATTCACTAACGTTGTTCGCTAATCTACACGGAGTATCCGGTCAGTCAGTGATGACGACTGATTGATTGATTGTATACAGACAGCAGACAAAAGAGAGAGAAAAAAAAGAGAGAAAGAGAGGGAAACAAAAGAGAGAAAGAGAGAGAAAGAGAGAGAGACTATAGATTCATGGACGCAGACAGACGGCGAATGTTTTGCATCCAATTATTCAAGAGCGGAATTTCAATAAAATTTGACTAGGCTGATATTTTTTTACTCATTTCTCTCTCTCTCTCTCTCTCTCTTTTATTCACTCTATCTTTCCATCTGTAACTCTTTTTCTCTCTCTCCCTCTTTCTCTCTCTCTCTCTCCCTCTCAATCTTTTTCTTTTTATATTTTTCGTTTTCAATTCATTTATCTGACCATAATAGTAGATAGACAGACAGGCAGACAGCCAGATAGAAAAATAGACAGACAGCCAGACAGACAAATAGACAGACAAATAGACAAATAGACAGACAGACAGAGGCTAGTAATAAGAATAATGATGAAACAACAAAAAAAGTTTTTTAAACTGTAACTCCAACTTATCTCCACCACAATTCTCTCTCGCTCTCTTCAAAGTTTTTTCGAACAATAAAAAAATAATGATAGAATAATAAAATAATAATAACATAATAACAGATTAATAGGAATAACAATAATAATAATAATAATAATAACTATAAAAACAGCAGCGGTAGGAACAATTCTTTTTCCAAATTCAAAACTTTCAAAGACCAACTTTCATGAACAGACGCTTACGCACGTAAAAACATACATAGAGAAACACAGGCAAACAAAGATACACACATACACACATGCCTACATATACACACACTCACACAGACACAGACAAACACATATCGACATTAATTTGGTGATTGTCTACTAAGCTTAATTAAACAATGGTGTGTGTGTTAGTTGATAAAATAAATTGATAAGCGTTCGGAGACGTTAAAGTCAATCTAACAAAAAATGTGTTTGTGTATGACTGTGTATGTGAGTGTATGTGTGAGTGTGTGTATGTGTTGCATGTGTGTGTATGTATGTGATGTATGTGTGTTTTACAGATAACATCGTAACTTAATTAAAATAAAATACCAATAAATAACCATAGCAGACACATTTCAGCACATACTTCCGCATGTACCTACACACACGCAAACAAGCAAGCACACGCACGCAAACAAGCAAGCACCAACACACACACACACACATACACATACAAATAAACACACTGTGCTCTACCGTTTCCCGACAATTTAATCACATGTAGCGTAATGAATTGGCTTTGCAACAGAAAGATAGGGAGAAAACTATTTCACTATTTATATACATACACACATACAAACAAACATACATACATAAATACATACATACCTACATACAAACAAACATACATATATTCACACACAAACATACATACATGCATACATACATACATACATATATAATAGTATACAATATACAAGCGGAATGAGTGAAACTAATTGAGATATTATGTTACAACCGCAGGCACCGCTAAACAAATACACGCACGCACACAGACACACAGACCAACACACACAAACGTACATACACACACATACACACACATACAAACACAAACACACACACATACACACTAATATACACTATTTGAATCAATGCATGCAAACCCAGAAAGATTTGCATAACAAAACGTTATGGTGATAGCACAAGGATAATTTATT